CCTAAAAGAGGCCAAAACATAACAAAACCCAAACTAACATGATCTAATCATCTACAAATCAAGGTATGAACTTGATATCTTAAAGTGACTGCAAGAAATGGAGGGATTATGGATCCAAGACCTCCTTCTCCATGATAGAAACTTCAAGATCTTCTAACTCCTTCACAATGCACAAAATGCTCACCAAACTTCCTTCCAAGTCTCAAAAACTTGACAATGGAGGCTACAACTCGTTTTAGGGTTTCGATAACAATGGAGGCTGATAAGGAGGTCAGAAAAAGGACTTAAGGCCTTTAAATATGGTGCAAGACCCTAAAAATTAGAGTTTCCTTCCCAGCTCCCAACTCACCGAGTTTGTTCATTTAATCCCCACAATTCTTCCATCTTAAACACGTCGAGTTGGTTCCTCCAATTCACCGAGTTCACCTTAAAATAAGGTTATCCTCAACAATTTCTCTTCGAGATTTTGCATGTTACAAAATTGTTCAACAATTTTGGTCCCGCATGTTAAAATCCAAGTCCAACTTGATCAAATTTGATGCAAAATGGGTTGTGATAAAATCCGATTTAGTATATAACTTATCTTAAGAATTTTTGTTTGTTTAGAGCATGCCAATTTAGATAAACACAATCTCATGACATCAAGATCTAGTGCAAGGTTGACCCATATTGCTTGGGTTTTTTGCTTAGGTCCACAAAAAACCAGAAACAATCCCTTCGTGATATTACTTAATTACAAAACTATGATCATGAACATTTAAAAGGTGTTTGGGATTTCATTTAAAAACAACTTATTGACTTATTGATTTATTGACTTTTTGAAAAATCAATAAGTTAAAAAAATGTTTGGCAATATGAAAATGACTTTTAAAATAACTTTTAATAAACCCTTTAAAAAAGAGATTTCAATAAGTTATGATTTCTAACTTTTCAAAACTCCTTTAAAAGATATATAAGTTAAGAAAAACATTTTTTAAAAAATAACTTATTGAATTATTGACTTTTCCCACTACAAAAGCTAATACAAACACTTTTTTAAAAACTTATTATTTTTCTACAAGTCAATAAGTTATTTTGCCTAAAAATCATTTTGAGGTTTAAAATAAAATGCTGAACATCCTCTTATATGTTAACTCTTGAACTATAAGTGTTCACGGTTAAAATTCTTTTAAATCATCGATTCGATATAAGATTTTGACAGATGATCTTAGGTCAATTAACTATGGCCTAGTGAACAAATTCAATCCAGTTGAACCTTCATTTATCGATTTTATCCGTTTGAATATTTGACTATGGCCTAATGAACAAATTCAATCCCATCAAACCTTGTAACATTCCGTTTGAAATTTAATTAAATAAGTAAATAAATAATAAGCCCTTGACCCCAAAATGTAAATCATATTATTTTATTATAACCCTAAATCCTTAATATTTCGCGGGGTGTTGGTTTCAGGGAGTTAAATGATATAATTTGGATTTTTGGGGGTTAAAAATACAAGTTACATATATGTTTTGTAAAGATTTTTAGAAGTCAGGGGTGTTTGGTAATTATTGGACTTAAATTGAAAAGGTTTCGAAATGCTGAGGGATGTATGGTAATTTGTGGAGTGGATTTGAAAAGAATTGAGAGGGAGGGGTAGGATGTGTAACTATGAGTCAAGTTTTAAAATTTACGCTCATAAACCCGTCACCCTCATATGTAGCCTTCATATATAAGCATCATGTAACCTTAACCCTAACGACATTCTTCAGCCGCCACCATATTTCCGGAGTCCTCTTAACCACTACCTCCACGCCGTTGCTTTCACCATCATCACTACTATCGCAGGCAAAGTCAAGGATGAAACTAGAACCACCGTGAAAGTCGGATGAATTGGGTGTCATGGCCGCTGTGGTCGTTTTCCGGTGGAGGCGCGACCTCCTTTTCCTGTTGGATTCACCGCCATTCCTCCACCTGCTATCTTGCTGTCGGCACCTCCTCAACCGCTCCTATCGCCGGACGGCGGTTGTAGCCGGGAAAAACCACTGAGACCGACACTGTGATTGTGGGGAAACCGGTCGAACTTCCTGCTGCTGGGTCTCGTCGTTGCCGACACTGGTATGCAGCTGTTTCACCGTGAGTTGCTGCCAATCGCCATGACCGCTACATGCTACCGTGAAGGACGACTGTGTTCGAGTTTTGCAACCGGATGTGTGTGTTTGTTGTTGTAATATGATTTGTGTGTGTCAAGGGCGTGTATGCATTGTTTTTAGCATTCGTGATGTTTTATTTGTGATTTTTTGGCTGGAAAACCCACCACCACCACCACCACCGTGAGGTGGTGGCTGCTACCATGTTGCCGTCTTCTACTACCACCAGCTGCCATGTTGGGTGGTGGTGTACATTTGTGTGTGATTGAATTATTTTTTAGATGCATAGACATGTTTTGGTTTAGAATCATAACCACCACCATGAGGTGGTGGTTGCTGTCGTGAGCCACCGTCGACCACAACCGCCCGAGATGGCAGTGGGTGGTGCCTGACCTAATGAAACCCTAATTGACCTAATGAAACTCTAATTGATCTAAAAACTTAACCAATGGATTAATTGGCACGCGATTGGGTTGGAAACCCTAATTAGGGTTTAGAAAACCCTAATTTTGGATATATGAGCTTTGGAATTGTCGGGACCCACATTTGGACCAGTGGATTGGAATTAGGAATTAAGCCTGACCACACTGTATGATTGACTTAATAGATTGATGGACTTAATGTATTAAGTCCTTAAGGGTTTAATTGTTACTAATTAACCCTAATTGTCATTTTATGTGAAAACCCTAATTGTGTTGGGTTTTGAGTTGGGCCTTTCTTTTGGGCCTAGATGTTTGTATCCTTGATGGGCCATCTAATAGCGAGAATATGGACTGAGGATTTTGAATGGGCTTTAGAGTAAGGCCCATGTGAAGGGTTTGTGCCTAATTTGGAAAATTGGGCCATATATTGGGCTTTGGTTCATTGTTTGACTTTTGGGTCTTTGGAGTGTATGTTTGGACCTTGGGCTTAGGTCAAGCTAGGTTGAGGGTAAAGTAGACTTTTACCCAAGCATGGACTTATGGTTATGTATTGGAACTCAATTATTAATTGGGTGTTGTTTTAATGTTGATAGTTTGGGAATTTGTCATCCAACAACTAGAGTTTTATCCGCAGGACTTCAATAGTGTGAGGTGAGTTACCTTATAGTAGAAGTGGCGAAGGCACCAATGCCGACCCACTAATAGCTGATTATAGTAGAGATGATTGTCTTTGTGATAATTAGCTGGTATGATATTATCTGTTATGCTTTATGTGCTTGTATGTTATGATATTATGTGATAGTGGTAGGAGGGGGGATAGACCCCGTTACCGGTCGAAAGGACCGAAGGGGTAGGCCAACACCCAGATATGCTAGGTAGTATGTGATTCATGTGTTTATGTACTAGGATGATATGTAGTAGTAATAGGGGTGAAATACTCCCCATTATCGGTTGAAAGAGACCAAAGGGGTATGCCAGCACCCAGATATGCTAGGCAGTTATCGGTTGAAAAGACCGAAGGGGTAGGCCAACACCCTGATATGCTAGGCGGTTACCGATTGAAATAGACCGAAGGGGTAGGCCAACACCCGAATATGCTAGGCAGTATGTTATTGTATGGTATGCGGTATGATGGGGGAACTCACTAAGCTTCGTGCTTACAATTTTCAGTTTTGGTTTTAGGTACTTCTTCTTCAAAAGGAAAGGAGCCGACATGATCGCAGGGCATCACACTATGTTTTACGCAAATGAGATATTTGAGATTATACTCTGATGATATTTCATTATGATATGTTTTGATTATTGACATATTGGTTTTGATATGGGATGACACTATAGATGTTTTTATACTATCGGTTTTTATATTAACTTAATTAAAATGAATTTTTTAGCATTGAATTTTAGGATGTTATAAATCTTGATTATCAATTTTATCCATTTGAATATTTGACTATGTAGAATAAATTCAATCCAATTGAACCTTTGGTTATCGATTTTATCCATTTGAATATTTGATACGCCGGTGTTAGCTTAATTGGATTCATCCGATTCTCATCTAAATTTAGATTTAGATTCAGTTATAAACAATCAAAATACATTTGATAACTTATTATATAAACATCCACTTCAAAATACAAAAATCAACATATCAAAATTCAATCAAGAAAATAAAGCTATTTAAACATATTTTTTAAACTTTTTATTGTAGTTTTATTTTATTTTTTATTAGTTTTTGCACAATATACGTATTAATAATATCATATTAATTGAATAATAAATTTTTGATAATTGAATGGATTAAATTGGTTAGTAATTGAATGAGTTTACTGTTCAGTTTTTAATTGCCATCATTATCTCTCAACAATAGACTGGTCCAACTTAAATAATGAAAATTTAAGCCCAATTGTTATTGGATATCAAATGTTTGTTAATGATTTTTTTATTCAATTACCCGAAAGTTATTTTTTTTGATTGAAACCATATTCTTTAAAGTTGCAATAAAATTAACATAACATATATTTCTACATATAAGTTATTTTATTTATAAATTATAATAATCAATTAATTTTTTAAAATACACAATGAAATGAATGCTTCAAAAAAAGAGTACCGTTTTATGTACTTTGATTAATTTACTTAAAGAAACAAATAAATAAATCACAAACTTCAACAAAAGCAGAAAACACACACTCTCTCTTTCTCGCTTTCTCTCCTTTCCTTTTTATCACCATTTACAGATCTCCATCATCTCTCTCTCTCTCTCTCTCTCCAACAGCTAAGACAAAATTGCAGTAAACCCTAGACCAAATTCAAATATCTTATCGAATCTAATCACTTTCAAATTCTTGTATCATACAATGCTTCAACAAAGCTAGGCTTTTTTCTTCTTATTCTCAGTGAAAATTTGTTAATTTCCTATTTGGGGGTGGAGATTTGCAGAACCCCCAAATGGGTAGTTGCAGCTCTAAACCCTCGACAGGATCCAAATTTTCCGGTCATTATGATATCGATATTCCGGTTAAAGATAATAATGAGAAAGAGGTAGAAGAAACAACGACGACGACGACGTCTAAGAAGACCACAAAGGACGAAATTGAGGTAGGGAAGAAGTCTCCATTTTTTCCGTTTTACAGTCCGAGTCCCGCTCACAATTGGTTCTCGAAAAAATCATCTCCGGCGAAATCTCCGGCGCCTAATGCGAGTTCTAATTCTACTCCGAGGAGATTCTTCCGGCGACCGTTTCCTCCCCCGTCTCCGGCGAAACACATTAAGTCGGTGTTGGCGAGACGGCATGGCTCGGTGAAGCCGAACGAGGCGGCGATACCGGAGGGAAATGAATCGGAAGGGGTTTCGGGATTAGATAAAAGCTTTGGGTTTTCGAAGCATTTTGGGAGCAAATACGAACTTGGTGAAGAAGTCGGAAGAGGGCATTTTGGATACACTTGTAAAGCTAAGTTCAAGAAAGGAGAACTTAAGGGTCAGGAAGTTGCAGTCAAAGTTATCCCGAAGTCAAAGGTTCGTTGATTCAATTTCCTTTTGATTGATTTGCTCATCACTAATTGCGTCGGATCAAGCTTCTTCTTTTGATCCGTATGCTACAGTGATCAGATCTGAAGTTGATTTGATTTGATTGGATCATATGAGCATCCAATTATTATTTTTCTAATCTCAATTGTTGACTTTCCGAGTTCTCGATCAACTTCTTTTAAGGGTGAATAGACCCAATCTAACTACAATCGAAACATGTCAATTCTGCAGATGACAACAGCCATAGCCATTGAAGATGTGAGAAGAGAGGTAAAGATATTGCGAGCTTTAACAGGACATAACAACTTAGTGCAGTTTTACGATGCATATGAAGATCATGAAAAAGTCTATGTTGTGATGGAGTAAGAATCCGATCATACATTCAAATCTTCATTCTGTGTTTCTTAACTATTCCGCAACTTAAATTTATTATTATTTTTTTTTGTAGGTTATGTGAAGGAGGGGAACTCTTGGATAGAATACTTTCAAGGTAACGTTTTTTATTGCTTTCAAGTGTCAAACACATATAAAATATTGGGTTTTAATTTTAAATTTATTAACCGAATTTATTTTTTCAGAGGTGGGAAATACACAGAAGATGATGCGAAATCAGTATTGATACAAATATTAAATGTTGTTGCGTTTTGTCATCTTCAAGGTGTTGTACACCGAGACTTAAAACCAGAGGTGACACTTTTACTTAATATGGATAAAGTTTGAATCTTTTTTATCACTCAAGTCAAAAGTCAACACCATTATTATCCATTGGTGCTAAATTTTTGTTCTATGCTTCTTGTTTTTTAATATGAACTATAGAGTTTTATCACATCATATAGTTTATTGACTCATTCTCTATTCCAAAAAAAAAAAACATTGTTTGACTTCCCACATAAGTTTACACGAATTGTTTGACTATAATATATATCATTTCCTTTCTACAATTCCCATTTAACAATTTTCAATCTTTGCATCAGAATTTCTTGTTTACATCAAAGGATGAAAACTCGCCTCTTAAAGCCATAGATTTTGGTTTATCAGACTTTGTGAAGCCTGGTATTTTCTCTCTCTACATATACATACATGTTTGTGTATGTATATATTGTCTCTATTGTCTATTGACTCTATTCCTTGTTGTTATAGTTTTCTCTTTTTGATTTTTACGTGTTTGATGTTTTTTTTTAGATGAAAGGCTTAATGATATTGTTGGGAGTGCGTATTATGTTGCTCCTGAAGTTCTACATAGATCATATAGTACCGAAGCAGATGTATGGAGTATTGGTGTTATAGCTTATATTCTTTTGTGTGGAAGTCGCCCTTTTTGGGCTCGATCTGAATCGGGAATCTTTAGAGCTGTTTTAAAAGCGGACCCCAGTTTTGATGAAGCTCCTTGGCCTACTTTATCATCTGAGGCCAAAGATTTTGTCAAAAGATTGTTGAATAAAGATCCTAGAAAAAGAATGACAGCTGCCCAAGGCCTCAGTAAGTGTCCCCCACAATTTACCTTTTTACCCCTATGGATGACTTTTACATAATGATATGACATGACATGACACAACGGGTTTACTATGTTTGACATTTATTTGACTGGTAGTAAGACAGGGACTCGGATAACATGTCATGACAGAATAGGTTACATAACCTATTCTGTCATTGTAACCTATTCTGTCTTGACAGAATAGGTTACACATAGAATAAGTTAACACAGTGTTAACCTATTGTATCATGACAGAATAGGTTACATACAGAATATGTTACACAGTGTAACCTATTCTGTCGTAACATGTCATACGAGTCTATGTCCCGCCTTTTTGAGTGTGACAAAAAGTTGTGCTTTTTCCCACTACTAAGTCTCAGTCCAATGCATGTCAAACACAGTGTAACTTACACAGTGTTTGACATGCATTGGATTAGTACTCGGGCTGATGTAAGTGGGAAAAAATACAACTTTTTGTCACACTCAAAAAGGTGGGACACAGACTCACTTTTGATCTATTGCTTGTGCAAAAGACGTAAATGCCCTTTTGATTCTCATTATCAGAAATAGTTCTAGGAAAGCTTATATTGAATTGATTATGATATGATATGATATGGTTTAGGTCATCCATGGATTAGAAATACTACTAATGAAGTGAAAGTGCCTCTTGACATCTCCATATTGAGACTCATGAAGGCTTATATGCGTTCTTCTGCCCTTCGTAAAGCTGCTTTACGGGTATCTTTTTAATTTTTTTTTTCTTTTGATGAATGTTGCTAATTATTATTTTGTTTTCAATATCTGTATAATTTTGTGTTAAATTTAGTCTTTTTTTCTTCAAAATTTGCAGGCTTTATCAAAGACATTGACTGTAGATGAGTTGTTTTATTTAAAGGAGCAATTTTCTTTGTTGGAACCAAGCAAAAACGGATCCATAAGCATGGAAAATATCAAAGCAGTGAGTAACTGTTTCATAAGTTCATTTAAATATATTAAAAAAATATCAATATACTTTCATTTATTTGTTTATTACTTTCATCAGTTTCTATTACACCATTTTACTTTCAAAACTCTATCAAATTATAGCATTCTGCTTTCAATTGTTTTTAGCACATTGTATTTTGAAGAATCTACTCTATAAATTTATAATGGTGAAAGTAGTTTTCTATATAATTTGGTAGTTTTTCAAACTATAATGCTTGTAATATGAATAAATGATAATAATAAACAAATAAACAAAAGTATGTTTCTATTTCCTACATATAACTTTTAACCCCTAAAAATTGAAACTTTTTTCTTACCTTTTTCAGGCGTTGATGAAACATGCTACGGATGCCATGAAGGAGTCACGTGTCCATGATTTCCTAGCATCGGTATGTCATTTGATAAATATAAAAACATTACCAATCCGCCATTTTACTTAAATACCCTCGCATCACCAATTCATCATGCATGTGTTCTTATTATAATGGCAGCTTAGTGCGCTTCAATATCGAAGGATGGATTTTGAAGAGTTTTGTGCAGCTGCAATAAACATCTATCAACTTGAGGCTCTTGAAAGATGGGAACAACATGCTCGTTGTGCCTATGAACTCTTTGAAAAAGATGGAAATCGAGCCATCATGATTGAAGAACTCGCCTCTGTAAGTTTTATTCTTACCATTTTTTTAAAAAAAATCTAAGGGTCTGTTTGATACGATGGAATGGAAATGAACGATGGAATGGAATGAGAAAAGTGATGGAATGGAATGAGTTGTTACATACTTACATTCCATCACCATGTTTGGTTGACTATGGAAAGAATGGAATGAATCATTCGAAAATTGTTAAACTATATATTATATATACACATGTTTCATGTGTTTGAAAATATGTAGTATGCGTATTTTGAAAAGTCAAAGAAGTTTATTTATTACTTTATACAATTGTTTACAAGAATAAACAATTAAATACCAAGAAGTCAAGAAATATGTTTTTTTTGAAAAATAATAAAATAAACAACTTAAATTAACTTTCAAATATTTTTTAATACATTATTGTTATTGACGTTTATATAAAAAAAATTTATATATTCATTTCCGGTCCAATGCATTTGACTTGAGTAATGTTTACGGGACAAAAAGTTGCAACTTTTGTCACATCGACATTCGTCTCAGTCCAGTTCAATACATGTCAAAAGCAGTGCAACCTGTTCTGTAGAAGAACGAAAAATGTATTTTTCGTCTCGTTGACATCTGTCTGAGTCTAATGCATGTTAAATGCAGTATAACCTGTTCTGTCATGTCATGTCCTGTCTTGTCTAGACAAAGAAACTGACGATACTTGTACAGGAACTTGGGTTGAGCCCGTCGGTTCCGGTTCACGCGGTGCTCCATGACTGGATCAGACACACGGATGGGAAGTTGAGTTTTCTTGGATTTGTGAAGTTGTTGCATGGTGTCTCGAGTCGGACCCTTGCAAATAAACCTCAATAACACTTGGTGAAATTTGTGTATGGATTTGGAGTTGAATGTGAGAAAAACCGAAAAACGTCCCTTTTATACATGAATTTTCTGACTAGAAAAAACAAGAACATGTATGCAAGTGGCATTGTATTTGTATGTATCAACGGATGCTTCGTGTTCTAATCAACTAATTTCTACCTCCCATTTCCGATATTGTATTGATTATATTTAAATGAATATATAAAGATGTGAAACAACTATCAAAACAATTTATCAAAAAAGCTATAAAACTCTTGTGAAACCTTTTTCCTCAAACCATATAAATTCCAAACAAATGAATAATAATGTTGCGTCTTCTTCCACTGGATCCTCTACCTCCAGACCCTCTCCGAACTTTTGGGGTTTCTTCTATATTTGATCGGTGTCCAACATTTAATCTATTCATCACTTTCATTTCTTCAATATCAACAACCATAACCAAATACAGATTCAAACTATTTTTATTATTATAAATTACGTTTTCCAAATGTCATTATCATTAATTAAGTCCATAAAATACCCATACTCAGGATGTTGGAAAGAAACCTTAATTTTAACCAGTACTATCAACCCCTAATAGTTAATATCTCTTGAAAGGAACCTCTAATAGTTAATATCTGCTTTAAAATGTTGTATTATTCAACTATATAATACATGAATTGTTGTGTATGATAAAAAACTGCTGTGTACGAATCACTCTTGAAACATGTACACACCAACATTTGTTACAAATGGCCTAACATATATGTTTTCTTTATCTATTATTTATTATGATCCTACCATTCAAACTATAACAAAAAATTCATCCATATTATTGAAATCTAATTTTCTCTCAAACAAAATTGTTATTATTATTATTTTTTTCTATTTTGCCATTTATAATAGAATAAAGAAACTCATTATGACTACAGAGACTATCTGAATTTTAGAAAAACGCAAATCCACAATACAGATTATCAGTCTGCAATACGATAGTATGGAGTGATGTATTATGCAGAGTGAGTCAACTCTTGTATTTAATGTGGACTGAAAATTTTCAAATCAATTTTTTTTTTTACTATGCAGTCTTGTTATATTTGGAAACATCTTCTTCTTTTTTTTTTTTTTTTTTTTTTTTTTTTTTTTTTTTTTTTTTTTTTTTTGGCTTTTAGTACTTTTTTAAAATTTTAGTATTTATATTCGCGTGGCGCACACGTTCCCTAACCAGCAAGTCCTCTGTAAAATCCACCCTAAATTTGTGAAGAGCGGTTGGATTCTGAATACCAGTTATGAAACCTCCCATCATTTCAATCTCCTCCGACGAAGAAGACGATGACGGAATCTTCGAAGAAGAAGAACTAGAATCGGAATTCTCATCGCAAGACGACACCGATTATAGCGAATCGGACGATCAGGAGTATGACGAGGAGGAAGAAAACGATGTTGAGTCGGATGAAGAAGAATGTTCTGATAATCAAGGTTTGTTTTCTTTTTCGTCGTATTAGAAATGCGCAAGTATATGACTGGCTCAGATATGATTAACTCTTTAAAACTGGGAATAAATTGTACCAACTATTTGTTTGAATTGAATTACTTCTATCGGTAGATTGGCGTGATCAATCACATTTGTAACTAATTGCAAAAATTGTAATACTTTGGTTGATGGTTGAACTGTAGCACCAAGAATAATGCGACTCGTATCTGTTCTTGACTGCCAAATTAGAGTATTCCCAATCCCTCCATTCCTGTAAAAGTGTTAACACTTCAATTTAGGCGTTACACAAGTTCTTTACACTTTCAGAATTGATATGGACTCGATTTTGTTTTAGTCAAATTGCTTACTGCATTAATTTTTGTGCTAGGTAGGGTAATATCTGTTTATTTTGACCTAATTTTTTGGATATTGCACTTGGCAACATGCTCAAATGCTGGTTTATATTAATTGTGATTGGCATTAGCATTATGATAAAGACCTAGGTCTGATCATCTTGTTTGGCATCTCACTTTCCTTTGAAGATATTATAGATTTGAGAACTGTTCTTTCTGGAAAAAAAGATTTAAAAGAAAGAAACAGAAGTGCATTTTTAAGTGCACAAAACATTCTTTAATACTATTTTATCTTTTCAGGAAGTAATGGCATAAAGGAGTTAAGTCTTGTAGAGTGTAAAGCATACTTGAGGAAGCATGGATTGAGATTATCTGGCTCCAAGGAGGAATGCAGGCAGAGAATCAAAGAACATGAGAGGTTAGTTATCAATTGCAATTATAAAAAAAATGACATTTTTAAATATATGATGCTATGAATCTTACCTTGATAAAAGGTTTTTTAAAATCCAGTTTAAAAGCTGCAGGGGGTGAGTCAATATATCCCAGATCATCATTTTCAATTAACTGCACTGGTAATACTTTTTTTTTTTTTATTTTCTTCTTTATTTTCTCAATTAAATACTTTAAAGTTTAAACCGAAATGTTTCTTTTAAATTCAGGTGATGCATGCAAAGGAGACGTTGTATTGTTCAAACAAAAAATACAAAAGAAGTAAGAAACCTGAAGTTCTTTTACCCTTTTTATGCTCTAAATTGTTTTTTCCTCATTGAATTAACAAATTGAATCACTTATAGATATGATAAAGGGGCAAATAGAGGAAATATAGTGGGAAAAAGAACTGTTGCTGGAAGGATAGTGAAGGAAAGTTATGGTGCATCAAAGCAACAGCATACATTCACAGTTAGTCAGATAAATAATATAGTAAAAAAACATGATATTATGTTCATGTTTTAACATAATTCATTATTTTAATGTTTGAAAAGGTTGAAGTGTTGTGGAACAAAGGGTGGAAAAAACTCCCTGTGCTTTCCACTTTGCTAGTGAAAGGTCGCAATCTTTACAGATATGGGACATTTAGACAGGTAAATTATTGATTATGGGAACTAAATTGCAATTTTAATTTTTTTTAATCAACTAAAAGATATAATTTTTTTTTTGTGTGGTGGTTTTTACTTTTTAGCCATGGAAGAGTGAAGCAGAAAGATCAAAAGTTCTTGAAGAAAAACACAAGCGAGGGGAAGCAGCTAGACATATACGAAAATCAAACAAGACAGAAATTCCTTCCAATAACAATAATAATAATAATAAACGAAAATTAAAAAAGACAGAATTTCTTTCCAATAACAACAAAGGTACATACCAAAAGTCAAAACACACTGTCATGTCATGTCATGTCATGTCAGTATATTCTGATTTTTTGTTTCGATAATTAGGTAGAAAGAGACAAAAGCTATCCAACAAAGGACCATCTCGAAGTAAACAACCAACTCGAACACCTAAACATACAAGTACAAGTGACCGCAAGAGGAAACCTGTATATATCAAAAAGACGGAAATGCCCTTTCGAGCGGACCCAAACCGTTCGATATATCCTAATCATCATCACCAACAACACGAAGCATCGTTGTTGCCCGTTCCTTATGACCGCATTTCTTCATTTCCTAATATGTCCCTGCTAGGGGTCCCGCGTTACACTGTTGGACAACCACCTCGACAGAATCCTGTCATGTATCCGTATCAGTACCAGGATCAATATCGGTATCAGTATCAGCCAGGTGGTTACCATCATTACACCATATGAATTACCTATTCATATTTGATTGTTTGAAGTCTATTTTGAAACAAGTACAATTTTTTTTACTATCTTTTAAACAAATATCCAAAATATTTGAAAGTCAACGTTACTTATAGATAAACCAGATATTTTGTTGACCTGTTTATTTCTTTTTTCCAATGGGTTGGATTGAATGACTCATTTTAAATTTCAAAGTTTATATAAAGTAAAAAAAAAAAAAAGGTTTAGACTTGTTTAAATAAGCTGCAAACTCAAGTAACCGTTCAAAATTAAAAAAAACACACAATGACAACATAATTGTTAATAACTTTTTAAATTTAAACTGATAAACAAGAGGTTGTGATTGTGTATGAGCCGCGTTTCAAATGGTAATAGTTTTCAGACAGTTGGGGTTTACACTGATCAAGTCTTTCAACAGAGAATTTCTCATTCAATGGTGTGCTATTTATATGTAGTACATAATTAGGTTTCAAATAAAATTTGTTAATGCCTAATTAATAATTAGAGACTACTTTGCCTTTTTACTTTTTATAACTTAAATAAAAGTCTATATGTTTTATCCTCATAATCGATTTAATATTTATATATTTTTTTTATTCAGTTAAGTCCTAAAAACCAGAAATTGTATTTAATTTGACAATTTTACCCGGTCAACGGATCATTCTACTTTTTAAAATTATACTTTTTGGTTGTATTTTAAATTTTATTATAAATTTGGTCCAAAATTTACACTTTTGGTCCAGATTTCAAAATTTTGTTACAATTTCATCATAAATTTAGTTTTTTACATTTTAATTTTTTTAATATGTTTTGTTTGTTGTATAAAATCATATTTATAAAAAAAACATTTTTCACATAAAAACCTTCTTTTTTCTATATATTTTGTTTTAAAAAAAACATTTTTATATGCAAAATACTGATATAAATTTTTTTTTTGAAACATTTTTGTATGCAAAATACGTATTTACACACATTAATTCATTTTAAATACCTATATATAAAACATTGTTATGTGAAAATGCGGGATATACACTTATGTAAAATACATTATTATACTTATATATACCTTAAAAACTTTTATAAAAGAGATACTTATTAAGTACATACAAAACGTTTTGCGTGCATAAACATTTTTATTTGCAAAATTGTTTCTAAAGTTTGTCGATTTGTCAAGGTTAACAATAGGTGTAGGAAGATCAAAAAGGTTGGAATGTGGAAATACAACATGCTTAACTTAATATAGTCCCACATGATCTATTAGCTAATTACTTCATTCGTATTGAATTTGGACATGTGTACCAAATAAGCAAAGACAAATCTCAAAAAGATAATAGCTTTATTTATTTAGGCATTATACGAATGGATCAAGCATTTATTAGTACTTTCTTTCCTATTCATATACTCAGTTGATTTCCAGATCATATGCTTTACATTCACAGGTCTATTAACATAAGAACTATTCTGATTGACCTTTAAGAGTCAAACTGTTTTGATTTCCTTTTGATAGCAATTATGCAAGACCTCCAAGATATATTCCATTGATGGGTATTTGTCTTGTTTTGGTTGAAGACACTTTAAAACAAGTTTAGCCAACTTGAAATCTTCCTTTGG